GCTAGGAAAAATTGTCTCTTCTTCATAAGAAGGTCAAGCTGGTGAGTGAAGTGAAAAGAGTTAACACTCAGCTGAAGGAAACTGGAAAGGCAGCTTACTTATAAGCATATGTAATTGAGACATAAAAAAAAAAAAAACAAAAAAAAACCAGAGCTGTGTCTGCTGGGGTTTGATATGTTACTCATAAAGCATTCTATAGCCCTAATTTATTCATTTCAGTAGGGCCAGTGCTTGGCAATATGTTCCCAAATTGGAGTTTCTTTGGATAATTGAAAACAATAGCTTAGTTTCTCTCCATTTTGTAATCCACACATTTATATTAATTCCTGCTTTTCCTTCCCCTAGACACTTTGAATCCACAAGATTCTACTGTATTTTTATTTGTTTGTTTTAATAAAAAAACATATAAACTTCTCTCTGTGTTGTATATATCTGGAAATAATTTTATAATTTCAGTGTGAGAGAACTTGAAGGATTCACTGGTAAAAAGATAAGAAGGATTATGACATAATTCATTCTCAATTGCTGAGAATGACAATAAGTAGAGATGAGTATAAAAATCCTGGAGTCATAAAATATGTCTAGTTTGGGGAAAATATTGAAATTTAGAGAAATATGTAAGGCAAGACTCCTTCTGTGGATTCTTTTCACTGTCACTTATTGGTCATTAAAATTGTTTAGGAACATAAGATATATGTCTAAACACACACATACACATATGTACACATCTCTTTTTTAGCTCCTAAAATATTTTTTGGCATAATAACTTTAAGAGAAACAGTTATTTTTAATAATAATTACAAATTCACTAATTGAGTTTATCTTTGTGAGTTTTCAATTTTTATTACAAACTAAATTATGAAGTAAAAATCTCTAAGCTAATGAGCATCTCTTAGTAGACTGGTAAGTCATTCATAGAAAATGAAATAGAAAAAAAAATGAAAACAAAACTCATAAATTAATTTATTAAAGTCCATGAGGTATAGAGAAGTCAGTCTCTTTTTGGGGTCAGACACTGTTAGTGCTTCTGACCATTCTTTATTGTATTACCTTATTGATTTCTAAAAAGTCAACTTTCCTCAATCATTCACTGTATTTTTCTCAATTTCAGGTATTATCACAAAACAGACCAATTTCTTCTGTGGGCTAACTAATAGGGAAAACTCTAAGGTAAATGAGGAGCAGAAAAGACAAGATTATTTCGTGAGGAGACATGTGCTAAACCCCATATCACTCTCTTGGACCAGTACCTTTAAGGTACCCTGTGTTTGCATCACAAGTCCTGAACATGCCATTTATTTTGAAATCTAGGTCAATGTAGTCTTAGTGCTGTCATTATTCATATAAAAGCAGTTTTCAAATAACCAAGCTGCCATGAGGCCAGAGTGTATCTATTGTGATGATCTAGAAGATTAAACAAGGACCAACGGTGGTGTTTGTCACTGAGTAAATGAAGAATTTTCTAGGAATTGGAGCTCAGACTGCCATGTAAGTTAATGAACTCTTTAGTCTAGCAAATGTTCAAGCTTGATTGTTTTGGGCTAGAGATGTAGACAGTTATGATCCTTGCCTACACTGAGCAACATACTACACCAATGACCTATATTGTCTTTCAGCTACCCTTAATATTACCTAGGTTCATGTTATTGATTTCAATTCTTAGGACAAATAAAGCCATATAGATACATACATACATACATAGATTTTTTTCTCATGTATAGAATAATAAGAAGTAAACATCTTATGAAATACAAATAATTTGGTTGTCAGCAGAGATACAGATTCTCCAAGTGAGTTGTTTTTATCTGGATTAGTCAATAAAAATGTCTGGGAATAATGCACTGCATGATTTAGGTGTTATGAAAAATTCTGTTATAATATCGAGGGAGTTCTGCAGGTAAATCCAGATAACATAATCACCATCAAATAATCATTAATCATTTAATAAATAATTATTGGTGTCTTATATGCCAGGTGTTATACTAAATTCTAGGAGTCTGATGGTTAATGGGAAAGACAGGTCTTATGGAGCATTTAGTCTAGTAGGACATCACATATGACAAAGAAATCATTAATAACAGTCAAGTAAACAATAATAATAATTGGGATAAACATTAAAAAGGAGAGCAACATTATGCTACTATTAAAAATAAATGAGTGCTGGGCTGCCACTACAGAGAAAGCAGTTTGAAAGACCTTTTCGAAGATGTGAGATCTCAAAGATCTAGCGATAAGAAAGATGTGGAGGGATGAGCAGACCAAGATGAAGAGCAGCATGTGCAAAGATCCAAGGTGGGAGATGTTGAGACGTGAAAGAAGGCCAGCACAGGTGGCGTCTGGTGAGCAAGGTGAGCAAGGGCGAGACACAAAAGGTAAGGTTGGAAGCATGGGCCAGATGATATAGAGCCTGAGAAAGGATTTGGAGTACAAGACCATAGAAAAAGATTTCAAGTAGAGGATCTACATGCTCTGATTTACACTTTAAGAAGAAAACTCCTGCGACTGCTAAAGAGGAACGTCAGGAAACAGGAACAGTGGAAGCAGGGGGTGGGTAAGAAGCTCATGCTGTAATCTAAGTGTGCAATGATTAAGTCCTGGATTGAGGTGGAAAAGAAGAGAGAGAGAGAAATAGAAGGATCTAATGCTTGGTTTAGAGGTGGACATATGTGAAAAGAAAAGAGTGCCCAATATTTTTAAATACCTTAACAGGCTTCTAAAGAATTAGGGTTGTTTTTTTATGGGATGGGGTTGTTTCTTATTCAGTCTTTTTTGCTGCTAATCTTTGCTTTTTTGTTTGTTGATATTTTTATTTGTTTTTTTGGTAAATAGCCTTGCATTTTATTACATAGAGAGAATCGCCTTTATTAATTTATTTTCTTATCTTATTGGAGATATTATCACAATATCTATAAGTATGTAAGTATATTGATTTGGGGGTTTTGTTATGTTTACATCTTCTTCTTTTTTTTTTTCTTTTTGAAACAGAATCTTGCTCTGTCACCCTGAGTAGAGTGCACTGGCCTCATTGTAACCTCAAACTCCTGGGCTCATGTGATCCTCTTTCTTCAGCCTCCCAAGTAGCTAGAACTACAGGCCAACACCACGACACCCAGCTAGTTTTTCTATTTTTAGTAGACATGGGGTCTTGCTTTGGCTCAGGCTAGTCTCAAACTCCTGAGCTCAGGCAATTCTCTCCCTTTGGCCTCCCAGAGTGCTAGGATTACAGGACTGAGCCACCACACCTATCCTACATTTAGATCTTCTTAAACTGGTTTTGCATGATAACATTAAAAAGGGGTCGTACATTATCTCTGAGTAATATGAAGGTTTTGTTCATGGTGGTCTGTTTTCATCTGACTGGTCTCTTCAAGAGACTACACTGTTTTATATCTCTTCTCTATCTTTCATAGTATTTCATGTTTTATAATTGTAATATATTCTTTCTTGTTTCACATTCATTTGTATAAACTGGGTAGGCAGACACCACAAAGTTTATAATAACATTCCCCCACTCTTTTATCTATTTACTTGTAGGTATTATAAGATATGGTGATTTATGACTGTGCCTATATCTATCTAAGTGATTCTATCACTTTCTCTTGTTCAGGTTTTAGTAAAGTTTTTCTCAAAGAATCTGGCATAATACCTGTCTAGGATTTGTTTAAACCATATACTTGTTTTTATGAAGTTTCAGTTTTGCAAGAGAAAAAAGCTCTGGAGATATATGGTGCACTTCATACTGAATTGCATTTTTAAGTATGGTTAAGATGTTCAATTTTATGTCACATGTATTTCACTACAATTGGAAAAAAGAGAATGTAGTATTGATACATGCTACAACATGGACGAACTTTAAAAACATTTTTTAAGTGAAAGAAGCCAGTCACAGAAAATCACATATTGTTCAGAATAGGTCCAGAATAGGTAACTCTAGAAATGGAAAGTACATTAGTGGTTACCTGGGGCTGGAGGTAGGAATGTGGAACTGGCGGGTTATTGGTAATGGTCACTGGGCATTTTAGGCCTGATGAAAATGTTCTAAAATTGGATTATGGTGATAATTGTGCAACTCTGTAAATATAATAATAACCATTGAGTTTTATACTTTAAATGGGTGAATTATGTGACATATAAATTGCATCTCAGTAAGCCTCCTGAAAAAAAGATTGGAAAGAATGACTTATACTGTTTCATCATGGTACTTAATCTTACTAATACCAATTTATTCAACATAAATTTTATGGTCTCTTGCACACAGCACTTAGAATGTAGAGCACTTTCATATAATTTATTTTATTTTCACATTTCAGGTAAAGGGGGTGGAAACTATTATCATTATCCCCATGATGAAACTGAGAAAAAAAGTATGATCAAGCCAAGATCTTGCAGTAAATGACAAAGCCTAGATTGAAATCCGGTTCTGACTCCAAAGCCATTGGATTTGCTACCACATCCTGCTTCTTCTCAATGAAGGACAGTTTAAGTTCTGTGAAGCACTCGTTATCTAAAATAATTTATCTGGTAAAACTGAAAGTATTGGGGATTAATAAGCTTTGGCTAATATTATAAAATGAATTGCTCTTTTGCTTTTATTCTCAGAATAACTTATGAAGTGTGAATGTCCTACACCCTAGAAGCTTGGTGATTTCCTGGATGGCTAATCTAGGATGAGCTTTACCAGAGAGAAGACCAGGGGCAGATGACTAGTGGCCTAATAGCTGATGATAAGGAGATGGCACAGGCAGGACAGAAACTGTTGGCAAGAACCAGCAGTGAGGATTGGGACTCAGCATGCATCAGAGTTCAAAGTTAGGATTCCAGGCTTAAAATGTCCTCTGGGGGCCAACAGGGAAAATTGCTTTTCCAGAAGATTTAAGATGGGAACTTGACAGGCAGGGAGGTGAAAGGAATCAAGAAAGGGACTGAGTTCCTAGGACATACATTCAAAGGAGTGCCTGAGTCACAAGAGAACAAGTAAACCTTTTATTAAAATTGGGGCTGAGGGGAGCGGCGATGAGCGCGGCGCGGGCGCGGCGCGGGGCCCGCCGAGCAGGTGGGGAGCAAAACATGACAGAAACAGATGCCTTCTATAAAAGAAGAGTACAGGATGGACCACAGGAGGAGAGGGGTCGCTTTAATCTTCAACCACGAGAGGTTCTTCTGGCACTTGACGCTGCCGGAGAGGCGGGGCTCGAGCGCCGACAGGGACAACCTCACCCGCAGGTTTTCAGACCTAGGATTTGAGGTGAAATGCTTTAATGATCTCAAAGCAGAAGAACTACTGCTCAGAATTCACGAGGCGTCAACTTCTAGTCACGCAGACGCTGACTGCTTTTTGTGCGTCTTCCTGAGCCACGGCGAAGGCAATCACGTTTACGCCTATGACGCCAAAATTGAAATTCAGACCCTGACTGGCTTGTTCAAAGGAGACAAGTGTCAGAGCCTGGTTGGAAAACCCAAGATATTTATCATTCAGGCATGTCGGGGAAACCAGCATGACGTGCCCGTCCTTCCTTTGGATGAAGTGGATCATCAGACTGACAAGCTGGACACCAACGTAACGGAGGTGGACGCAGCCTCAGTTTACACGCTGCCTGCCGGGGCAGACTTCCTCATGTGCTACTCGGTTGACGAAGGCTATTATTCTCACCGGGAAACTGTGATGGGTTCGTGGTACATTCAAGATTTGTGTGAGATGTTGGGGAAATACGGCTCCTCCTTGGAGTTCACAGAGCTGCTCACACTGGTGAACAGGAAAGTGTCTCGGCGCCGAGTGGACTTCTGCAAGGACCCAAGTGCAATTGGAAAGAAGCAGGTTCCCTGCTTTGCCTCCATGCTAACTAAAAAGCTGCATTTCTTTCCAAAATCTAAGTAATAGAGGCTATTTTTATCTTAAAATCTGTATTCAAGATATCTTTCCCTTTTTATATCGATAAGGATCA